AAACGCAACAGAACTGTATTTGCATTGTCTCTTGGAGTTCTTTGGGCTGAACCTGACACCATCATCACCACTGGTATAAATATGGTCCAAAAATATTAACCTCTAGTATGCCCAAGATAGTTCAGTCCAGTGAGTAAATAAAGCTGTTGCAGGATCCAAAATCATCCAGGAGTTATCAGATAGTTATGTCTGATCAAAAGTGATGGAGAAACTCCACTATGAGGAACTGGAAGCAAGCAAGAGCAGACACTGATCCATAAGAGCTGGACAAAGCATCAGATCCAATCTCCTGCTCAGTGCAAGAATGGAAATTAAAGACTCCCTGACAGATACTTCTTCACCCTTGCTTGAACGCATCCAAGGAAGGGGAATTCACCACTTCTCTGGTAATTGGTTCTGCTATCAAACAATTAGAAAGTTAGGAAGTTACAGCTGGGAAGTTTTTTCTAACATTCAGTTGGAATCTGCTTTTCTGTAATTTAAACCCTTTATTCCATGTGCTGTGCTCTGAAATGATAGAGAATGGGTCTTGGCCTTCTACGTGCTAATTTCTCTGTATATGTCTTTAAAATGCAGTGTGCAAAACTGGATATATAGTAAGATATATTAAATCATGGATATATTAAATCATGCATTGCAGAGAGTGTATTTCCTCCCTCCATTATAATAATAGAACTCAGAGTCATTCAAAAAAGCAGAGGGAGGTTCAGGACAGATTGATCTTTGCACAGTATATAGTTAATCTGCGGGATTAACTACACACAATTTGGTGATGTCACCAAATTAAACAGCTTTAAATGGAGATTAGAAAATATCTTGGTAAAACTAACAATGGCTACTAGCCATTATGGCTAAATTTTATGTACAGAATGCTATCTGGGAGCCAACTATTTTTCTTCCATTCTCCTTGCAAGTTTTGAAAATCCCCTCTAGAAGGCTAGTGATGGAGTCACCATGCAACCTACCAAAGACTTCCACAAGCTCTTGCTGCCTTTCTCAGAATCAGGAAAACGGCATCCTGGGGCAAGCTCCGTCCCTTTGGGGCAGATGCAGATGGAAAAGGGGTGGAGCCTGCATTGCTACAAGTGAAGGAATGTCTAACAGATCCCAGGAAAGCAGAGGAGGAACAGAGACTGTTGCGAAAGAGACAGCCCAGCCCAAGGGAAGAGGGAAGCACGAGAATGAGAGCAACTCTGCCTTAATTATACTAGTGGAAGAAGTGCTTTCAAGATTCTATTAACGTTGCCCTACTAGCAATAAAGGTCTTTCCAAAAATCCAAGTGTCTCTTGTTTCTTGGGTTTGCCAGCCTCACAGGGCTTGACTTTAGTCTTGAAAGCCTGTCAAAGCAATTCTCCCACTCATCTTATACCTAGCATAATTAAGTAAAAGTTCCACTGAGTCTCTTTCTGTATACATGGTGAGAAAAGTTCTGATAGAGCCCATCTCTATGAGATTTACAATGTGAAGCAGATTTAGGCAACAGAAAGGAAAAAGAGACAAAAATAAGCAAAGGTAGACTATGCAATTATTTTACAGCTTAGTTACAGTTGGAAAATACTATCAAGAAATGTTTCAAAAGCTGTCTTGAAAAAATGACTTTTGATTAAAATCTGAAGGAAGAATACAGTAGCTTACTGTATTTTAAATTTCTTTTAAAAACTGCACTGCCATCAGAAATATGCTTCAAACAAGTAAGATCTGCAAGTCATGTTTATTCTTGACAACAGTTAACATAATGTTCTTTGGCCACGAGAAGGAGTTAAAGGAGACACCAGGTACAAGAAATCCAAATAAAATAATATTCCCTTGAATTTTAATCTTGGAATTCAAAGCCTTGTGCAAATGAAAGACACCTGGAAAGAAATTCCTTGCAAACAAGAAGAAATTATTCCAAAACATGGAATAGAGAAAAAGTTCATTTTGACTAGTCTGACCCAAAATCTGAAGTGGACCAAAGTTATTGAAATAATCACTTTTTAAATAAGTAACCAGAAATGTAAATCTGCACATTTTTTAAAAAAAATTCAAAATTAGAGATTAATGTTCAAAATTACACTTTAATTGGGATTTTTTTAAATTTTTTATTTTTATCCGCACTCAATCGTTACCGATTCTGCAGCGACTGCCCGGACGAGTCCCTACAGTTTTCAAGGCAAGGTGTTTTGGAAGTGGTTTGCCATTGCCTCCTTCCTAGAGCAGAGCCTAGCTGGCAAGCACAGGAGGCGGGGTTTCCGTGGCTTCACGCCTTTTTCGGGCGTGCGCGACTTCCACATTGCTGGCAACTGCTCCCATCTCCTGTCCAAGCGCTGCCAGCATTTTTCCTCCCACCGGGATGAGAGTACCCATTTATCTACTCACATAAGTTTTCGAGCTGCTGGGTTGACAGGAGCTGAGGAGGAAGCAGGAGCTTACTCTGCTGCATGGAGCTGGGCTCGAACCGCTGAAGTGTCGACCATTTCTGGCCGGCAACTTTCAGCGTCATTAAGCCGCTGCGCCACCGCGTGAGTTAATTTCATATCCATATCATATCATATCAGTGAGTTAATTTCATATCCATACAAACCAGTTGTTAGAGGAATTCTAGTTCAAAATGTCTTCCTGGCAGGAAATGAATGTTTAGGAAATGTCTCCCTTAGGAGAAATGAGCAATGGTTGACCATTGTGTTGCTTGCTGGGAATCAACAGACCCATTCTAAGGATATGCTCCCTTCTCCCCATTTAGACCTCCTGGTTTCCCCAACATTATTCCAATTTCCTTCAGCAGGTGGCAATGGCTTTCTCAACATTTAACATGTAGATAAACTTTCACTGAAGGCTGGGTAATAGTTAGAAAAATAGTGGGGTCATATTCTGGGGTGAAGTATGTGCTCTGCATTCAGAATTTCCTAGGATCAAGCCCTGGTATTTCTAGTTAAAGGGATCAGATAGCAAGTTACAGGAAAGGTCTCAGCTAGAGACCCTGGAGAACCACTGCTGGTGAGGGCAAACATAGAAGCAAATAGTCTGACCTTGTGCAAAGCAATCTCCTAAGCCTTGTATAAGTTCTATGTTGTATTATGAGGACAGAAGGAAAATAAATAGTAACTGTGACTACATGCTGTTTTGTTTGGCAAAACAGTAAGATCAAGCTGAGCCTGGGGCTTTCCCCATATACCTTTCGTTTGTACAATGAACAAATAAACAGGAGAGATACTTGGCAATGTACATGATGGAACAAAGGATTAATGCTTAGAAGGATTTTACTGAAATTGGCATTATTGAGCAAATAACAAGTTCCACAGTTATTCCAGGAGTTTTAAATCAGATATTTTATTCTGGAGCTGAGTCAGGCAGGGTCCAATGGATGCTCCAACTAAGTTTGAATTTACTTTGTTTCATATTCCTGAAGACTAGAAATCTAACTGGTAGAATTTATTCAGCAGCAATTATACTCATAATTAATTAATCTCTTAATTAATAGGCCCATGGTTTGTCAAATAAAATGGTGAAATTACAGATCAGCTATACCTTCAGAAGTCTTGCAATATCTAACATGCCTAATATTTATATCCAAAGAAACAGTGTTTAAAATTTGGTTGCAACTTGTACATTTTTAATATTTGATACATAACTACTTCTGACCCTGTAGAAGATCTCACTAAGAACCTACTGCACATTTTTTTAACAAAGGTAACAAGGGGAAGCATCCTGTCACATAGATCAAAGTAATTAAACATAGATTTTCCATAGCTTCTATCTATAAGATTTTATTGATATTAGTTGGTTGAAAATAATTACTTAAAAATGGTTATATCCTTATTAATGCAAAACAAGGCCACTATTCCCTAACAATAAAATAGTTCCTACATTACCATACTGCTTTTATAAAATCTGAGACATTGCTAACAATGTATGATATTCCAGCCTTGATATAATGCATCACTGCAAGCCCTTTTATGTAGAGGTTTTGGAATAGTAAGCTCCATGTCCATGTTAGATTGTATGCTGTATTTACAATATTTTTTAATTTATTTATTGTTTTTCTCTCCATAGGGAAAATGAAATAAATGGAATTATTTCAGAGGGGTATTATTTGGATTCTCTGTAAGAAATTAGTATTTCCCTACAAATATACACACATAATCAGCATTTAACTTGTAAATGAATTCTGAAACAATAAGTCGCTATTTAACATTGTCTTCATTTTGAACATTTCAAAAGAGGCTCACGGTTCTGTGATTATAACAAAGAGAACATACAAAAATGACCCTAACTCACAATCTAAAAGTCAGTTGTGAAAACAGATCTCCAATCCTAGGCTTTCCTTCCCAAAACAGTTATCCATTCAATTATCCTGGCTTATAGTCCCTTGTCCATATGATTTCCATTTCATTTTAGCGCTCTCCATGAAAGGTGAAAATGTATTAATAGAGCTATCATGTAGTACACCAGCTTAAGAAACCCAAAGCACAGCCTTGCCTAACTTGATATCTTCAACATCATTTGAACTACAACTAATATTTGACTACTGGCCAACTGCAGTTATAGTCTAAAACACCTGAAAGGTAGCAGCTTGGGGAAGGTGACCATAAAGTACTACTAAAAACTCAATGGTCTTTGCAGATTTTAAAGTTGCATTTCATAATTTAATTGTAGGATTAGGTTTTCTTAATTGCCCTTTTTAAAAAAAATATGGCCCTATAAACATTAATTTGGGTTGTTGAGATTTCGCCTGGAGAATTTCCAGAGACCTACCACTTCCCTGTGCTATATTTGGAAATGCAAGTTTCTGACTTTTGTTCTAGCTGCTGTTTTGCATTTCTCACTTTTCCAAACAGGACCCTGCCAAATACAATGAATCTATAGCACCATGTATACATGAAGAAACACCAAAAACACTAGTGGAAAAATAAATAAGAACAGAATGCCACCATTGGGAAAGGCAAGACAAAACCAAGCCCAGCTTCACCAATTCATGTTACTTAGAATGGTGCATCCAACTTAAGAAAGCAATGACCCAGTTTCCCAGTTGGGACACTTTCAGCCATAGGAAGAGTTCATACAGGTTGATCTGCCACAAGCTCAGGGCCTCAGAAAGGGATATCTGGGCCTTTCGGAACAGGGAGTTACTCTTGTTCCTTTGATACCTGAGAAAAACACAAAAAGAAATGCATTAACTGTCACATAAACTAGCAATAAAACACTCAGAGAAGAACAATTTCTGAAAAATAAACTATTTTGTAATTTGGAGCTGAGTACAATAAATGCAGTGTCTACTGATTTACATAGTGGCTCTTCTCATCTGGGACTCAAAGTGTCTCTTTTCATCTCTACCTTTGCATTAAGCTCTCTGATTACTCCATACTTTATAGAAGAATGAGTGTAACAAAGACACCAATAACAATCCAAAGGAGAGGAAGAAAACAAATTATTTAACCTTGTCTAGAAAATCAGTGAGAGGAAGCACATAGTCTTCCACACTACTTTGAAGATAGGGATGGAGAAAACAGGTAAGAGTGAATAGGAGAGGACAGAAGATCGATTAAGATGGCAGGTAAAACAGAAAAATCTGCACAGAAAGAGCCAAACACCCCCAAGCCCCATTTCATATTCTTCCTCAAGTGGTGAATGGTATGTTATGTCTACAACTCCATAAGTCCTTTGCTCCACTTTAATTGAATTTCTTTATGTTGTTTCAAGATAACACCAGATAATAAATATCAGGGCTGGGCAAATGCTTTGAAAGAGGTACTTCACAACATCATGAAAGTTATACAAAATACTTTTCTTGTAATCAGTGAAGGGGCTGTGCCCTTTTCCAAGCTCACACAACTATTCCACATGCATATTGTTTCATTTGGAAAAAAGGGAAGTGAAATAGCCGCACGTGCACATGTTTGTGTAGATAGCTGGGAGGAGCTACTTTAATGATTTGGAGAAGTCCGACATACATGTCCCCTCATGTAGCAAAGTATCTCTTTTGAAGTATTTGCATAACTCTAATAAATATTATATGACTACTATTGTCTACTGCATGAAAAAATGTGCCAAGCCTATTTTTGTAGCTTCAGCTATTCCAAAGTCATTGGATACAGGAAACATATAGTCAATTAATAGTTCAGAATCCTGCTTATGGGGACTGATGGATAAACAGTTAGAGGAGAGCCATGGAACACTGTTTGTATACCTGATAACTGCAGTGACATTATTGTATGCACAAAGATGGAAAGATTTGGCAACACCTACAATGGACGAATGGTTGATAAAGATGACAGAACGTGCTGAAATGGCTAAATTGGCATGTTTGATTATAGAAAAAACCATATCTACATTTATTGGTGACTGGAAACCCCTTATGGACTTTTTGCGTAAAAAAGAAAAAAGAATCCAGTTTATGGTTATGGTTATGGGTTTGGGGACTCACACAGAAACAGCTCGTATGCAACAGCGAGACATATTGAGGAAGGAGCTGGCATTAGCCCGTGTCTGCAGGGCAGATTCAATCCCCCTTAGCAAATCGTTGGTCTTCAGCAGCAGCAGCATCTGACGAGGAACGTTGCTGAGAAGCTTAGTGATCTGAGGTAAGTAAGTAGCAGCGTTGGTCCGGATTTCCACATCCTGGAATAATCAGATTAGAAATGTATGGAAGACAAGGAAGGAAGAGATTCACCTTCTAAGCACTGTCAGTACTGTCTACTGTGATCAACAGAAGATTTCCAAGGTAGTCAAGGTCTTTTCAAATAGAAATGCAAAATCTGAGAACTTTATGATTACACAAAGCATATGCTTTATCTATGGTTTATGTCTCCTTTTTAAAAAGAACCTTAGAATCTCCCGTTTAGTAGTTCTGACGGCATTTATTTACTTACATGTTGGATTTCTATCCCACTTTTCCTGAGCAGCTTATATAGGAGGGTTCCCCTAATTTTATCTGTGCAAGGACAATCTCCTGAGGGGAGCTGAGCTCAGAGAGAGCAACTGGCCCAAAGTCATGCAGTGAGCTTCAGGGCTGAGTCGGGATTTGGACCCCAGTTTTCCTGGTCCAAGCCTGGCACCTTAATTATCATACTATATTAAAAAATATAGCACAAGAACTGGTTTACACCAGTAACTCAGTGAAAGGCAGTATGCATTTTATGCAGAAAACCCCAAGTCCAATTTTGGGAATGGCTGATCCCCAGTGTGAAACTGCTATCGGGCAATTAGAAGAGAGCAGACTCTCTTTAAAGCAAGCTGCTAAGCAGGCCTATTGTTCTACCTGAGATAGCAGCGAATCTTCAGCATGGCATTTTTGGGTGTCACTTCCTTATCAGGTATCCCAAGAAAATGTACCTCTTTAGTTGTGACAGGCAACCGATCAATGCCTCTGTTGACCGATTCCCAGGAACGTGCAGTCAGCATGCAAGCAAACAGGGGGTACAGGTCACCTGCTCCCAGGCGCTGGCTATATTTTTTTATCTGCTTCATATCTGCCTTGATCAGGGCCTGCCAAAGTTGGCAGTAATTCAAGCGGAAGTTGTCCGTCAGGACCTTAAGAAGAAGAGGAAAACAAGGCACAAAATGTTGTTAAATAGGAGTTAGGCTCAAGAACAGATTGTACTTGGAGGAATTAAATGGCCTGGGACACTTGTTCAGTGCCAATAGGGACAGCTGACTACTACTGCAGTGGAACACTGATGAGCATGTGTGGCACCTCTCTTATATTCTACATTTAGCCTCACACTCCAAGTGAAATATTAACACTGTGCCTTCTTTGTTGTGCCTTCCAGAGCTGTATTTGTCCAACCCTCTGTGCCCATGCTTCAGACCCTCTCTCTCCAATATGCTTGTTGGTTTCTTTTTGGCTTGGCTGCTCTTGGCATTACCACAGCATCTATCTCCTGCAGGTAGAAAGGGCACCTCATGGGAAAAGCCTGCTGTTCGCTGCCATAGCAAAAAGATTCCTACCCACAAGTGGTCAAATGTTGCTGCTTAATGACAAAACCAGCCTTAATTATCTCTCCATCTGTTTGTCCAGCCAGCTACATACCTGATAGAGTCCATGGTCCAGAAGTATAATGTGCGACTTGCCTGTAGTTGGACACTTCCTCACCAAGACATTGCCAGGATGTGGGTCACAGTGCACAAAGCCATTCACAAAGATCATTTCACTGTATATCTTTCCCAGGTTGCGAGAGATCTGAGGAGAGAAAAGGAGGCGATGCAAGACCCCAGCAAGCAACAGTACCAGGGGCATAGGACTATAACCTTGTTCAGATCAATACCACCTATTGGCATGGCAGAGAAGTAGCCAATGCTGGCAAATTCCTTTTTATGACATAAGATATACAAGAGAAAATGACAGCATCCAACTAACATATGTGCCTTCAGAGAAAGGATTTAAGGTATCTCTCCCTCATCTGGGTAGAGCTAGAACCATGCTAGCAGAAATGTAAACATGTTAATCAAAATTAATCACAAAGAGCAATAATAAGAAGCGCTATTGGGGCCCAGGGTGTGGACAAGCAGCATATAAATCACACATAAGTTGTGTGGGTTGCCCAAATCTTCCTATGAATTTCCTTATTTAGTAAGGAGGGAATGCTTGTGCATTGTGTGTGCATATGCATGTACATGTGAATAGATACAAGTGAGTCAATTATCAGAGAAGATGAAAAATGTAATTCAATGTTTATGGAAGATACCTCATTGAGGAAAGTTGTATGTGAGCATTCTTGCTCAAATGTATTGTTGCATGACCATCCACATGCAGTTGTGAATCTGAATGACAGCCTATGGCTAAAGTGTTATCTGAAATGAACTGTAAATCTATGCCTGCCAGAGACTGGAAAATAACACTTTCCAGTAAAATATGACTCAAACGTGACTCTGACTGCATTTACTTCTTTTGAGTTTGCCTTCAAGCATGAACAGAATCCAATTGGTAAAAAAAAAAAAAAGATGGATGTCAAAATATTACAGAGTACTAATGAAAGGAGGAATACTCATTTAATTAGGAAACGGCAGATGCAATATTTAATTTTCTGGACCAATTGCCCAATCAGCATGAAGTAAGGAAACTTGAATTTCATATATACTGAGATGAAAGAAGAAGCTGGGGTTGCTGTGAATTAAGAATAAAGCAATGGAAAAATAAATTAAGTACCTGATTTTTTAAATCTCTTCACTTACAGTATGTCTACCTCCACTACAAACATACTTTGTTTATATAAGCAGTGTAACTAGCAGAGTTCCCCCCCCCCAAGGAATCCATAGTATGATCAGGTTATAATGAGAATTATCCATAAGCAATCCATCCCACCTACTGCTCACCCCCCAGGTTTTGTAAGAAAAAAGAATGTAACAAATAAATGTGTACCAAAAATAACACATCAACTTCAGAGTGCTATTTATTTCATTATATATTATTTCAAAGTTTACCCTATCTTTCCACTGGTCACACACGGCCAGAAATCACTCATGTGCTACCACGGTTATGGCTTATAGAACTGTCAGTACCATCCACACAATTAGTTAATTACCTTTGTTAAATTTACCATACCTCATCTATTCCAGTGCAATGATCAAAATGAGATATGAGGACTTCTATATATATACTTGACTTCAACCTCTCTCCAAACATTCCAATAGTTTTGAGCACATATCCAGTTGTTTAGCACACCTGCTATATGATTGTGAATATTCTTAGGCATTTCTACCTGTTGCCTCACATCAGTATTCCCGTTTCTAACAGTGAAAGACTTCTTATCATAATATAAAATTATCAGTATTTCCCTATTTCAGTATTTACATGAGACAGTGAACAAGCTGGTTAAACACATTTTAATCTAGTGTGTGATATGAACCCAGACCACAGAGTTATTTTGTGGTTCACTATCTTGTGTGAACCCATAAAACTGGATTAATAACTAAAGTATGATTAAGTATGTTGTGTGAACACAGCCAATGAAAGAAGCTATTATTTTAATGACTCTTTAAGGTCAGCTAAGATAACTAATGTATATAAAAAAATGTTCCTAAAGAATAATTATTCAATAATCGTATACTCAGTACTTTGTGATTGGTTTGCATATTGTTTTCCCCTTCTCAGTGGCCAAAAAGATAGACAATAATAATTCACAGGTAACTCCTTGAAAAGGAAAAGATAAAAAGATGGGTGAGCTAATTTCAAAATATGTTATTGATATTTTGGAACTCTACAGTGCTGGTGTTCAAATGTTAGGGTGGATTATCACAACAACTTAGAAGGTATAGGGGAGAAAGGGAAGGTTAAGTGTAACTTAAGCCATGCCTCCTAAAACTATGGAAGTAAAATTCTACAGAACATCCAGATTCTTAAGGATTTGCATTGAGTGCTGAATCTTTCTGTCTAAATTATCAGCACTAAGATCATTCTCATTAAGGAAATTAAAAAAAAAAAAAACCATGAAAGCAAGCAGTGCTTTTAGGATGATACCACAGGGATGTGCTATGAAATTACCATAATCGCAATGTATATTGTATATCGAAAGGTCTGTCTGAAGCAGTGCAACAAGTCTTTTAGGTCATAGGGTACATTACTTCTGAGGAGTACAGGCACAATCTTTGCAGAGGAAGGATTGTGTTCAGCTTCTTTTAGCCACCACCCATGTATAGGGAAACCATCTATGACTTTTAGCATATCTTCTTATATATGGGGTTCAACCCTGAGCTACACATACTCGCTTATATATGGCTTTGAAGCCAGTATCCCATTCTTTGGCTCGAACCACAGAAACTAGTTTCTTTGTTTTGGATTTGTTTTTTTTAAAGGAAGTCAAGTAATGTGGACAGATATGTTCAGTTTTGACCTGGAGGTATTTCATGATACCCATCTCTGGAATTAAATTGATGTTATAATGTTTTAATCTCCCTGCCGACCATGGAGCAAGTGGTACAAGATGGGATCCTACGTGCCTGTTTATTCCTGTCTATTCCAATTTAGAAAACATGCTAACTGTTGGCTTTAATTCAGCCATAATATTTGCCAATTATTTTAAGGAATGGCGACACTAACTTCTATTGATCTCATTAAAAGTAAAGGTCGTGATGTAGCTAATTTCTTAGGGCTTGATATTACCTCCTCAGGCCAAAAGAATAGCATTGATTTTAAAACCTTAATCGAAGGTTAATTGGATTAGTAAACATGCTTTTTTAAAAAAAAAAAAACACCACCACTGCAGGCCCCCAGTCACACTGGTGTGAAATTAGCAAAGGCAGTGCAGGATGTAGGTGACTGAACATGTCAGCTTGCTCCCCATCACAACTGGGCAACACCCTGTATTAATGTCAGCACAGGATTTCATAGAAAAGACAGTAAGAAAAAAATGAGGACTTACTCTTTAGGAAAGCTAGAGCCCATAGAGTTTGGGTTTGGATTTTTGTTTTTGCTCTTTGGTGCAAAGTTACATAGATTTGTTGTGCATTTGCAAAATGTTTGGCTGAGACTTTAGGCTACTTTATAGCTAATAATTGGCCACAAATTTGATTGGACACCAATAGAGGAAAAAGCCCATTTCTAAATTCTAAGCAGCAGAATGTTTGGCTTGGTCAACACTTTCAGTCAAATGAAGTGGAAACATTCTGAAATAGCTAAGTGAACCGTACTATTTCAGATTGCAGGGGATAACAGCATTTATGTATGCTACCACAAATAAAATACAAAAAGAAAACTAGGATATCAAGGAGAAAAATATTCTAGAAAAGTAGCACCTTATTCTTCTGATGATACACAACCTATACTTAATGGTTCTTCCATCTTACTTCATATTGACACACCTAAGATACTTCAATTTGAATCAAGGTGGTCTTCTACATTCTCCCATAAGGAGTTAAGAAGAACACTACTGGAGCAAACCAAGGAACTATGTAAGCCAGTATTCTGTTTCACAGAATGACCAACAGATGCATCCAGGAAGCTCACAAAGAAGACATGAAGGTGATAGCTTTCTCACCCTGTTGTTCCCTAGTACCTGGTGTGCCTGAAGATAGAAATTAAACATAGTGGACAAGGATTCCTATTATCCCCATCTAGCATGACTATTGGAAATAATGGGAGCTGTAGCCACTTGAATGTGAGAAAGATTAGCTTTGAATATCATGATGTCATTAGATAAAATTATCTGACTCCATGGCAAATGGCTGTGTCCTACATCTTCTGCCAAATTCTGTCTCTTGGAATGCTGAAAAAGGGATTCATCATTACTAGCTGAATGGAGCAAGTGTACTTTAAATGATTTCTGACAAAGAAGAATACCCTATATTAATGGGAGTGGCAGATCATTTTTCCTGAATTCCAGATATGGCTTTCTAAAGGCCAGTGGATAAAAATGCCTCCAAGTCCTAACAAGAAGAATCTTACCAGCTATTTCCAATAAACTCCATTCATATTTGGAGGGCTGATTTGAGATTTTAAGAAAAGAGTTTTTAAGACAGAACAAAGGGTAGTTGACCATTTATTTATAGAGAAAACAAACATGTTGAAAACATTGCTCTGAAGAACTGACATGCCCAGTTCATAGTCATTACACAGGCAGGCAAGGAAACAGAGTATAGTTATAAATGCAGATCACATATGGCTGCGTAAATTCAGTTTATTTTTTTACTATTGGTATAATGATTGTTGCTTAGCATGAATAGTCCTGAATCCAGCACAAAACACATAAAATTATTTATAGGATTGTAGCAGCTAACTGATGGCAGCTGAAAATTACAGGTTCTGGCAACCAAATGGAATTTAACTCATGGGCATTGGAGCTGTCCTAATCAGTAATATTGAGCATTTTTCTAAGAGTACACAACATGCACAACAACATCAAAATGTACAGAGGTACTATTAATGTAGTGTGGAGGTAATAAGGTTATATGCAGAACAAACTAGAAATTTTGGTAACCAGATCAGATGAGCAAGATCCAAAGAATGGACCTCTTGCTGCATATATCTGAAAACAATAGTTTGCTGGCCACGTATATGATGGCTGAGACACAAAACAAAATTTACAGAAGATTAAATGCTAAATTCTTTGCTTCACTGACAATGGCAAAGCCTTTGACTGTGTAGATCATGCCAGAATGTGAAACATATTCAGGATAAAGGGCACACCAAACCCCTTGATTATTCTTCTAAGTAATCTTTACAATGAACTAAAACTATTGTAAGGACTTAATTCTGAGAAATATTGGAAGGGTGGGAGACAAATATGCATATTATTCTCATATCTGTTTAATTTATAAACCAACTATATTACATGAATGGCAGGATTGGAAAGTTGACAGTCACAGAATAAAAACACTAGCAATTTATAATATGCAGATGATATTACTTTGTTAGCTGAAGGTAATGAAGACTTAGAGTTCCTTATGGGAGTGAAATGAAAAGTGAACAAGATAAAAAAATAAAGCTAGTATTAAGCCGTGTGCTTAATCTTAATCAATTTACAGTTGATGGCAAAGAAGTGAAAGTGATAGATAGTTCTGTCTTCCTGGGCTCCAGAATACAGATGGACAATGTGCTGGGAAGTACAGAGGAAATTAATGCTAGAGAGGAAGGCAATGACAAATGTTGATAAAATCATGAAGGTAAGGATGGTTCACTAACAAGATCAAAATAAGTCTGAGAAAGAGCAAGGCAAAGAATATAATTCAACTTATGGATGTGGGGATAGTTATCAAAAGTATCAAGAATGCAAAAACACCAATCAATCAGATTTAGGTCGCATTCAAATATATTATGGGAATAGTCTTGAAAGAGCTATGAGTTGTTACTAGAAACAAGTCAAAATAATGAGCATTTGTCTACATAGTCATCACCAAATTTGACTCAATGGCACCCAAATAATCAACTTAAGGTTAAACAATGGAAATTGGACTAGATGTTTTTTCCATAAATGAACAGCAGGAAGAACCCAATTCAGAGCAGGTTCATGGGTTAATGGCTTGGGATTCTTAACCTTTTACCCCTTGTCCTTTTCGGATAACTGGGATCTGCTATTTGTACTAGAGAAATAGCTATAAAATGGTGGTTTCCCCTCCACATTCTCAGTTTTGAGTGAGACTGAAAAGAGGGACAAAGAGTTAGACTCACTATTTCCCACCAAAAACCAATGTTCTGATCTGGATTGAGTTTGATATTTTTTAAAAATCTTGCATTTAAATCCTATTGTCTGACCCTCACTGGGAGTTTTGGGAGTTGCCAAAAGAATAAGTGTGGCAGGGAAAGCTGTGAATTTGCTACAGGCAGTGTCTCTTCAGAAAGTTAATCTTAGAAATCTAGATTCCTTGCACAAGCTTCTTCTGTTAACTATAAAACTAGCTGGCAGCCAACAGCTAAACTTGTCTAGTTTTTGATGACTCTGCCAATTTTTCCCCTTATCTTAGTTAAAAACATTGCCAACAATTCCACTCTTTGGAAAAAGGTAAACACTGTCAAGCTGCAAGAAATGGAGACATTTCTGTATTTTATGTTAAGGTTCAGCAATTTCTTAGCAGCCTAAGCACTTATACATTCATCTGATAGTCCCCCAACCTCACCCCAAATCTGGAGAAAAGGAAACCTAGCTACCTTAAAATTTTATTACATGAATCATATACATCATAGCAGGTGGCAGCAAATAGACAGCCATAGCTGATCTTGAAAAGCTACCTATACTTGGCTATAATATAGCCAAGGCCATAAACTAGGCTAAGAAGAAGTAGAAGTATACTGGAAGAAGTTAATGGTAAACCATTTCCATACTGATGCCAAGAAAACATGGAGTCCAACTCAATCCAAGGGAGACTTTAATTTTTTTGTTCCAACACTGGCTTCTAAAATATTTGATGCCCCAATCCAGACAGTTCCTTTCTTAAAATACCTCATTCCCACAAATCCTTGGTCTTCTTTTTCCTTTACTTTCCTCACTTTCTACGTTCAGTCTCTCCACTTTCCTCTTTTTCTTAGTCTCCCAGCTACATTCTCATTCTAGGCTGCACGCAGACACATGACCAAGAAACTGTTCCACAGTCAGATATTTCAATGTTTGCACTTGTCTTTAGAAATCAAAAGCTTCTCTGATTAAATGCTATTATAGTCCAGCACTTGGACGGATCCACACAGATTAATGTGCTTTGGGGCAGCTTTAACGATAATCCTGCTACAGATGGCATAAAATAAATGTCAGTAACCTAGTTTGAAGGGAGCTTTCACCTCAAGGATCCTTTCATTAAGAGGAGAAAGACTCAGGCTGCTTTTTAAGCATCTTTTGCTTGAAAAAAGCAGAGTACATAACAGAGATCTTTCTCCATCTCTCCCAATTAAATATGACAAAACTTTTCTGGGGTAGAGTGGTATGGTTATAACCATGGCTCCACAGTGAGGCTGCATGTTTGCCTTCTCCAACTGGGCCTGTTCCAGATGTGTTGGACTTCAATACCCAGAATGGCCTAAGGTTGCTATAGCTCAGCACTAGTACACAAGTTTCCAGTTTAATCCTCAGGACCCTGAAAAAGCAAAATTAATCTCAACATGGCTAGGAAAAATTACTACCAATCCCAACAGATTGTGCTGCCTGGATAAAAAGATCAATGTTTTGACTTGATATAAAGCAGC